GATGACTGTCTCCCAAATTTTGTAGCCACTTTTTCTCCAAAATCAAGCTAGAAAAAGAATAGTCTAGCCATATAAAGATGTGGAAATTATCTATATCAGATCCTTTTTATAAAAGCATTTAACCTGTGAATAAGTACACCAAAATGAGATTCTTTCGAACAAAATCTGAACTTCTTGTATTTGTAAACTTAGGCTGGGACTTGCTGGGTCTTCTACTGAGGGCAGAACCAAGAGAGAATTGGTGAGAGAAGGCCTCATCCTATGTCCACTGAAGTCAACTGTAAAGCTTCTATTGACTTCAGTGGTGCAGAATCAAGATCAATATGAGTAAAAATGTGGGGAAAAATTCCAACTCTTCTGTCCCTCAATTCAGGCTGAGGTCTATAGCAGGGCTTAGACTGCAAATTCTTTTAGCCAGGTGCCATCTTTCCATTGTGCACAGGGAACTTGAGCCATCCCACAACACAAATAATAATGAACCAACCTTGCAGTATTTACTTTAATGTGTGTGTGCTATATGAACCAAGCAGTGCAGGGTCTGTTTTCACGGGCAAGCACTGAATGAACTTCTGCAGGTTCACTAGGAGGTTCAGTTTGTTCCATTAAGGGATTTTTAGCTACTGTGTGATGCTATATCCTGGTCCTGCTACCCTCTGAAGGGGAAAGTTGCTTCTTGCCAGCCCCAGAGACCCTAAGGCATTGGAAGCTTTTTTCTTAACACCTCTCCTCCTGAGAAGGGAGTGGCCACCATGCACTCTCTGAAGTTTCAGGGGAAAGGAAAACAAGACACCAGGCATCTGAAGACAGGAATGGTAAGGGGTGGAGGGGCTCTATGGTGGCATCTGAAGAGAAAAATGCATCAGCCCATGGCTGCTGATTTTTTGGTGTACCTAGGGTGCCATTTGAAATGAAAAGAGAATCTCAAGTCTTTGATGTTGTGCAAGTTCAAGGTTCTGTGCAAATGTAGCACACAGACCTAGTGCAATCACCAGGAGTTCAGAGTATACAGAATATCAAGGGAGAATAAACCCAGTAGCTGTAAGAGCTTTAATTGCTATAGAGGTCATGACACTTTCTTCTTAACCCACACTAGGGTAAAGGTTAGGTAAAGATTAGGGTAAAGATTAGGCTTCTTCTTTTGGGGGAGGAGGGCAGGTTAATTTTGTTGTTTAGTTATATTTTTAATATGGAGAGTTGAGTTAGACTCATAAAGTCTGACACTATAATGGCAACTACTACACTCACATGATATATCTATTAACTGTGGCCACAACCCATGAATAGATTATATTTACCCTGAAAGGAAAAAAAAACCATTGTTTTAGATACCAAGCAATATGTTGGTCACTATTTTTCTTTCCTCCACTGCTATAACATTTCTCTTTTTCTCCATTATCTTTTCTTTTAATAAATAAAGAGTTCCACAAGTCTCTATCCTGGCATTTAATGTCAAAGAAAACTCATTTGCACTTTGCCCTAACTTATTTGAACTGTTAATAAAAGGATTTATTTCCAATTGTTTTGGGTTCTTCCTGTACTATTTTACAAACTAAGGGTAACATTTTCAAAAGCACCTAAGGGACTTAGGCACTTAACTCAAACTTCCAAAAGTCCCATTGGAACCTAAGACCCATTGATTTTCAATAATACTTCAGCTTGTAACCACCTAAGTAATTTTTGAAAATGGGACTCAAGGGGAGATTTTCAAAGGCACGAATGTCAGTTAGGCACCTATTTCCCACTAAAAATTGATGGAAATTAGGCACTAAATTGCTAATTGTGCCTGTGAAAGTCTTCTTTTAGACTTATAAGCAATGTAGGCGACTCTGTAAATGTTACCCAGTGTAATGCTCATTAGAATATAAAATAAAAGAACACAAGGTGACTGAGATCATTTGTCTCCTAACTTTTCGCATTGTTAGAGGGATTTTCCCACTACCCAAGACTAGTTTTACACCTGGCTTTACAGCTTTTATCTCAAAGAAGCCAAAGAATGTGGAAAATATTATCCTTATATAATTTATTAAAAGCTGAGTCAAAGAACAGGTGTTACTATTGTAAAGATTAATTCAGCAGCTTTTCTGTTCAGACCCATAAATTATGAGCTTTCAGGCCCCTCAACACTAAATCACATATACAGTGTCCACACAGACGTAAGTGTTATTTATTAACTTAACTCTAGGATGAAAAATGAAATTGAATCTGTCCATACTTTGCCAGCTGCATTACCTGCAGTGAGCATTGAAAACTGGTATCAGTAGGTATGCCAGGCCTCTCATTGGCTCTTCACTTTACAGCCATTTCAGCAGCAGGTCCTATTTTCTAGCAGTTAAAGTTCTGAACCGTGAGCTTGGCTACAACACTAACATTCCACCTCCAGATGGCTGCTATTACCACATAATTATTTTTTAAAAAACTGATTTTTAACCAACCTGCCATTCTCAGATGTCACATACAGTGCAACATTGCTTAGATCAAACATTTTTTGTTCTCCCTTCTCTACCTAGTTAGTACAAAGAATGACCTAACTTAAACAGTGCAATAGGTAATTATGCAAGATAATATGTAGGCATAAAATCAAGATGAGAGCATGTTACAGCCTAAATCCCTTTCATAAAGGAAACTATTATTTACAAGTATATATTTTTTGTTCTCCGCTCTCTGTGTCACAAGTTCTAGCTAAAACTAATTGTGTTGATAAGTGCCAAAGAGGTGTCAAAGATTTTGCAATTGATATACAGTGGGCTGAATTTAATTACCAACTGATCCGGCATTACTTGTGAACCCAAAGTGAAATTAACTCTTGCACAGAGGGCAAGCACAGGGTCCCCTCAGAACCCGCCGGGTGTACCTACACAGTACTGATAAGGTGCTTCCCAGAACAGGTAAACAGACGTGCTAGGTCTGCTCAGGCTAGCGTGCTAAAAGTAGCAGGTTTCAGTGGCACAGGAGGGGGCTCAGGCTAGCTGCCTGAGTACATGTTCAGGGAATTGGGTAGGATTGTAAAGCCTCCACACATGCTGCTGTGGCCACACTGCTACTTTTAGAGTGCTAATTTGAGCACAGTTCATGCATTTCTATCTACTTGCTCTGGGAAGCATCCTCCTAGCTGATGTGTAGACATACCCTTAGTTGTGAGTATCTGGGCCTTTACGCTGGCGTGCTTTTCAGACACAGAACATCTACTAAATAAGTGAGAATTTCACATTCACAAAAGGTTGACCAATTGGGCCTATAGGTTATGCACTAACATAGAGGTAAAACAGCCAGAAGTGTAACAATGAGAGGGAAGGGGTACTGTAGCGGGGTGGTTACCCGCTCCTGTCCTGTGGGGCTTAAAAGCCAGCCCTGGGAGAGAGCCAGGGCTGAGGGCAAGAAAGGCTAGGGTGATTGGGGAAATGGCCACAGGGGGCCATGCCCCAGTCAGGCTGAAGCTGGGCCTATAAAGGGGCTGCTAGGCTGAAGCTTAGCCAGAGAGTCTCTCTCTATGTTCAGAGAGGGAAGGGCCTGGCTGCAGGGAGCTGAGGAAATACCTAGATTGGAGCAGGGCTGAGGGGGAAAGGCCTTGGGAGCAGGGGAGCTCTGGCCTGCAAACCCCCAGGCTGTGAGGCCTAGATTAGGGCCATTAGATTCTGGGATTGCAAGGGGGCAGCCCACAGGTAGACAGAGGCAGCAGGTCCAAACCCCCTCGCCTGTGATGAGTGGCTGATACATTGCAGTCTGCCCCGGGGAGCGGGGCTAAGTGATGACTGGCAGTAGCCAAGACTGAGATGAGGTGGGGGTAGTGAGTGGGGGTTCCCTGGGGAGGGGAGACCCTCAGGGATTGTTGGGGTTTACTGCCAGGGGGCAGCACCCCATTGGGAGGAGGCACTGGGTTCTGGGAGGGACTGGGGCTGGTGGTAAGGTGGATCACCAGATGGCAGAGGGTGCTCCAGATGTTGATGAGCTAATTCCCAAGGACAACCAGCAGAAGGCGCCACTGGGTGAGTTCCAACTACGTCACAGGTACATATTTTTTTACTTTGGGAATCTCAATGTGTAAATTGTAACATGAAAGTCAAACCACAGGCTAACTGTGAACTTGCAGAGTCAGTGTGAACAGATGTAATTCTTCAATTTTTCAAGTGACATCATTTTGAAAAATGTATTCTGTTTATCAGACACTATCTTCATTAATTATACATCACTCTCCAGTGACTATTCCTGTAGGAACCTGGCATTTCTTACTGTAATGCTGTTTGTTCAAACAGTTCTAGTTCCATGTACAAAGAGCTCTAAGCACCTGATTAAACAGCCTGGTTTTTTTTATAACCATAAAGCCAAAAACAGATTAGGAAATAGCATACATTTTCAGCCTGACAGATCGCAAGCTGCTGTGCTTAAAATAAATTCAATTTGCAGAACATTTAACATTTCTAACAAGATTATTTATAGGTATTGTATAACCAGATATGATCTGGTTAAAGTTTCAATGGATGGAGATTCATAGTGTGTATATTTGTCTTTACTTGTTCTCTCATTTAGGTCATAATCCTGTTGACCGTTACTCACATGATTGGATCAACAGCCTTCAAAGAGACTATGCTCCTATAAGAACATAAAAATGGCCATTCTGGGTCAGACGAAAGGTCCATCTAGCCCAGTATCCTGTCTTCCAACAGTGGCCAATGCCAGGTGCTTCAGAGGGAATGAACAGAACAGGTAATCATCAAGTGATCCATCCCCTGTTGCCCATTCCCATCTTCTGGCAAAATATAAGGGCTACTCATGAACTTGCAGGATCTTGACTGTAGGACTTCTTTACACAAACATTCCTACATGTGCAATCCTTCAACCCTCACTCAGGTGAGTAATCATTTTGTGAATGGCCCCACTGGAGTAAAGATTACTTCTGTGAATAACGGGTGCAGGATTTGGCCCTATGAAAGTGAGAGGGGGACGAGACAGTATTTTTACATATATTCTCTCAGGCACCATCAGCTCCCAACAAACATACTCACATTTATCTTGATCTGCTTCCACACCTTCACTCTCTGTGTCGCTTGGCAATATCCATGGTTGGTGGGCAAGCTGAAATTGATGTAAGAATTCATCCTGTCATAAACAGGATATATTTTAGATAAATTACATAGAAGGATTGGCTTTGAATACTGATAGAAGCAAGTACTTCAATCTCAGTTAATTGGCCAGATGAAAGCCTCAATAAAATCCAGCACTCCCTCATCAAAATAACCCACAATTTAAATGCCTTTCAGATAAGGCAAGGAAAGGCTTTCTGAAGATTTTGGGCTCATTTTATTTCTCCTGTTAATCTGAGAAAGGATTATTTTTTGAATTAATATTGTTATGGATTCCTGTACATGTATATTGAAAATAGTCATACAAAACCCAATGGAAACATGTTCTGAACACCAATACTCCATATGTTCCAGTACTACCAGGAGTAGGTCCTGAGATACCATGCAATAAGAGGCGAACAGGTTTTGTTCCAATGGGGCTTGATCCTGCTCCCATGGAAGTCAAAGGCAAAACTCCCATTGACTTCTACAGTGCAAGATCAAAACTCAAAAGCCTTATCCAAAGCCTACTGAAGCCAATTACTTCAATGGGAGCAGGAGCAGGACCATGAAGAATTTTTAAACATATTTTTACCTCCAACACATCACAAAGCTATCAGGATAATGGAAGTGGGGCTTTGAACAAATGATTGGCATCAATATGTAAATACTATTAAGAGATGGCTGGGAATGTGTTTATTTAACTTTTTACAGTCAGGTCTTAATATAAAATAATACAATGGCAACTTTCTTTACAATATTCTTGGGTTTCAAAGAGAGAGGCGGGGAAGGACAGTTTAGCAACCAAATGTATATAGATGGTCTTAACATTTCAGGGCATAGTGGTCAGTCTGACTGAAAATAAAGGTTATAAAGATCATGAACCAGACCCTCAGAATCTTGCTCTAAATACTCAGAGTTTGTTACATTACATATGAATAGGGAATGCTTTAAAAAATCATATAATCCATCTTAAACCATAATCAAAGCTTGTTTTATACAGCTACAATAAACTAAAGACAAGACTGACTGGACAAGATCTAACCTTTCTGGAGTAAATTATTTACTCAACCAGTCATCTATTAACAAAAATTAAAGTTCAACAGTGAAAGTTGCTATGCACAGAGCTGAGGTCCAAAAACTTTAGCATTATGAGTGTTTGTTTTCTTAGTGTCAGAATAGTTGCAATGACTGTAGTGCAGAGCTGGGCAAAGTTTTCTGGTTTATGTAGCAGAATTCCTGCATCATAGGAGCTTTGTTTATGCTGCTATCACACTGATTAGTCCATTTTTTTAGTCCTGATCATCTGGTCACTCCACGATCTTCCTAAAGCATAAGGACAGAACAGGGAGAGTTGTTCAAAGCAACGCTACAGAACAGAATCAGAGTACCTCACAAAGAGATCCCCATGGCATAAAATACATGAATATGGAAAGCTGTCCTACACTTCTTCACTAGCCTGAGATATGATGTAAGGTATATATGGAATTCCTATGATTTTGGAGTAGAATTGTCCATTCATTGTCCATTATTAACTATTCCTTTAATAAAGAAACAGGACACTGCACATGGCCGGTACTGAAGAAAAGTGGAAGAGAGTGCACTGAACATTGAGGCATGCATAGAGCTTCCATGGATGAATTTGGTTCTTAAATTTTTTCCACGTATTATTGCCACGTATGAAGAGCCACTCAAGTATAATAAAGCTGCTTAGAGGGATTCTACTCTGTGTGCCTGCTTCTTCTGCCAGGACAAAGTAACAGGAGCTCCAGAAGGAAACCAATGGTGTGTGTTTGGGAAAGGGGGCGAAAGGGCAGGAGATGCCATGAGGGCCCTGCTTCCCCTTTCCCCAGCACACTGCTTTGGAAACCTCTTCCTCTTTTCCCCGCCTCCAACTACTGAAGGAAAGCAGCAAAAGCCTGGGAGACCCTTTTGATGGGAAGGGGAGAAGGAAGACTATATGCTGTCCAAACAGAGATACAGCTATAGCCAACATTCTCTTAAGTAATTCCATTACTAGTCCCAGTGCTATCACTAGTGGAGGAGTGGGATTGCACACACACACAGTGCTCCAGAATCTGTCCGTAAGTGATCAGACAACAGCAAACAGTAAAGAACACGGGTAACTAAAAAAGTGAATAAATGTGATTTTTGAACCAGCTGTAGTAATCTACCAAGAAAAATTATAAAGAAATTAGTTTGTTCAACTCACTCCAAAAATGTGACATAGGGAACAATCCTTCATTATCAGGGAGATGAGTAGGAGATCTCACTGCTTTATTCCAATTTTTAACATCTATGAGTTTATAAATACAACTCTTTGCCATAGAGCCAAATTCTGCATTGTGCCTCTCTGAGGTTCAGCAGAGAATCAGCAGCCCAAATGGGATGGGGAGACTTTTAGCTACTTTTGTGCCCTTTCAGTCCTGGTCTGCTTCAGGGAATGGAGTGGTCCCCAAGTTAACTTAGACAATCCTCAAGGCCTGTCTAAGATACAGCAGCCTCTCAGGGCTGTACTATGGGCTGCAGCTCAGAATCTCCACAAATCTGTATACTGTGGTTCGGAGACCCTCCATCCCCACCATACCAGCGCCTGTGTTGGGGAGAATCCACCCATGTCCAGAACCAGCATATTAGATCCCCTTTATGCCATTCCAGCCCTCTTACCCAGGTAAAGGGATCTGAGAAGGAATAAGGATCTGGCTCTCAGTTTACATCAGTGTAAATCCACAGTAAGTCCACTGATGTCAAGGGACTTGCTCTGGATTTACATTAGGCTAGCCGAGAGCAGAATTTGTCTGTTAAGGGTTAATGCCTCACTCGATGGTAAACTCAAACGAGTTAAACTTTTCTCTTGTTAACAGACACGTTACAAAAAAAATGTACATATACCGAAAACAACTTTGAGTTATTCAGACATGCAAAGTGATTGTAAAATTCCATTTGTTCAAGAAATGAAACTGAAAATAAGAAAGTCAATGGGGCTCTTTTCCTTCAACACCAGTTCGTGAGAACTACAAATGAACTGTGTCAGACACTAATGGATTCTGTCCTGAACAGAGAAACAGAATTCAGCGTTTCTTTGTCAAACTACATAAAATACTTAAGGAAACACTAAATGCCTAAAAAGGTATGTACAAAAGGGTTTAAAACCTTGATTTATTAATTTTAGAGAGATAATAAAAGCTATTTCTCCAGGTAACATTTCTGTGTTGTAATTCAATTTGCCCTTGAACAGAGCTGGCAATATAACACACCTGCTGGTGCTGTATAGTGCTGTCTATTCCAAGAGACAGGCATTCATATGCTGAAGTACTCTGATCATAAGGCAACTTATAATTCTTTTTGAGGGGGATCAAAGTGCTAAAGTCTTGGGCATTTTTAAAAAACTTAACAGCTGACATATTAAATCTTTGCCAAATTTTTCAAGAATTGTTCTGGTTAGAATATGGGCTCTGTCACAAGCCAAAGAATAATTTCTCTGCATTTTATTTATTACTAGTAGTTTCTTTTCAGATTTCAGTCCTTCCTTATGTAACTTTGATGCACATTAAAAGCTGTACAGGAAATGTACTTAGAGCACTAACAGATATTTTAAAAATAGCGTTTACTGAATTAGTTCATCATCTTTCAACAATTATTTATGTAGATTTACTCCTGATTTACACCCAGGTAAGTGAGAAGAACAGATTGCCTATTTTCTTTTTTCTCAAGCTTTCAGGCTAGCATCCTGTACAGTAAATGCAGTATAGCCACGGTGCACTCTCATCTAATGGAAGTTCTTCTTTCATGGCATGTGCCTAGAAGGAACAAACATAATTTTTCCCTTTTATCCTCTTCTTTTACATAGCACCTATACTGAAATGGGAGTGGAAACAACCACTATCGGTTATAAAGGCTGCAAAACAGTTTCCAATGTGAAATTCCATTTTCATATGTCATAACTTAACCTAACCTCTCATGCAAATTTAAAAGGAAGAGCTAGGCCATATTTGGCACGGAATTTTTGTTAGGGGTTCCTGACCCTTCCCAGCAAATCCACAACAATGTGGTTGCCTCTAGGATACAGAGTGGCCTCTTAATTGGCCAAGAGGATTCAGCAAACTTCTCATTGTAGACAGCTGCCTGGGAGAGCACTGGGCTATGTTGCATTTCTCTCCCAGCTGCACCAAGTGTCATGGGGCAGAAATGCTTATTGGGTATGTTCAGAAAGCCCACCTCTCCTTTTCTAAGCATCCAGGAGCCACGGCATGCCAGCAGCTAAAAAGGAGTACCCATGGCTAACAGGGCAGTGTCCTGATCACAAAGATGGCGGAGGTCGCATTGCTCTGGTGGCCAGGCTCTGTCTCCATATTGTCTGGGTAGGTAAGAGAGTCGTGGGCTGATTTTTCTCAATTAGGGGGCAAGGGGCAATGACTGTGCAGTTGCTATCACAGCTTTTCCCTCTAACCACAGCCATCCCCAGTGGATGTCCAAAGGGTGACTCCACCAAGTACTGGAAAGTTATTCAGGGACATGGTTAGCGAGTGACAAGTGGGGCTTGGGGCTAGGCCACTGGCAGCCAATGTTCCATTGCCCCCAATAAGCAAAGGAAGGCCACCTGGGAACAGAAGCCAATTAGGAGAAGGCAGGCAGGTTTATGAGGGACTTCCAGTACTGCTTGGGGATGAGGAGGCAGATACCAAAATTTGGGCAGGTGCCACAGCAAGGGAAGATCAAAATCAAGGACTATCACAACTACAACCATAACAAGACTGCAGGTGTCAGAGGCCTGCAGGTGTCTGAGTTCTCCCTTCATTTTTCAGAACAGATCAGAAGAAAGCAGGTGAGAAGGTCACCCTAAGATGACACTTGGTGGAGCTCATATGCTCAGTGTTGTAATTTTGTGGAGTGTTGCACCTACCCTGCCACCCTTAAAAAGTTGGGGTGTTGGATATTGCATGGGCAGAGCTCCGCTTAAGTCCAGACTTTGGTTATCTCCTGGAGATCCTTTGCACATTTAGGGTTATCCCAAATCTTTTCATTGCTAATTCTTTTTGCATAGGAAGTGCCTGTACTATAGCCAGTGCAGATCACCAGGATGGAGAAGGCAGTCATTGACTGTTGGAGATTGGGGTTTTTTATGCCATACATCAGGAATTACTTAATACGAATGGGGATTCCTAATATTTAAGTTTCTTCCACTTCCTAGTTTACCTTATAATTTTGACTCTAAGCAGGTAGGAATTGTGGGACGCAGCGTTATTCACTAGACCACCTCTCAGACAGGAACACAGCAAGGTTTTGAAGTGGATAAGGTTAATGGTCAGGTGGCTCCTGACATGAGCCTTGCTCATTTGGATGGAGTTTCCAAGGTATGGAGAAGCTGCTGGTTAAAATCAAGCACGACTGGACCAGTTTAAGGTTGTATGTTTCCCAGGCAGGAGGAGCATGGTCAAATATGCTGCCAATGGACAGCAGTCTCCCTGGCTGCCACGGTAGAAAGGCCCAGGAAAACATGAAAACCATGGCCGAGCTCTTCCTTTTAAATTTGCATGAGAGGTCAGATTAAGTTTTGACATATGAAAATTGAATTTTACATTGGAAACTGTTTTGCAGCCTTTATAACCGATAGTGGTTGTTTCCACTCCCATTTCAGTATAGGCGCTATGTAAAAGAAGAGGATAAGAGGGAAAAGTTATGTTTGTTCCTTCTAGGCACATGCCATAACCAAGTGAGGAAGCACTTCGGGTGGGATTCACAGGGACTTAATCACTTGTCACTTTAGGAGCCTAAGTCCAACATTTAGGCACCACTGGTATTCACAAAAGCCCTACTCAGCTACTGTCTAATCCTGTCAGTGCCTAAACTCCCTAGGTCTTTAAGTTTATGGCATTAAAGACCCCCCAAGACATCTACATGTCAATGTCTGGGCATGCACACAGCTGCAGGAGTGGGGAGGCTGAGTGGCCAGGCATTCTGGCTCCTGGAAGGAGGCTGAGCAGCCTGTCTCTGGCAGCTGGGCTGAAAGACTCTTGTCAATTTCACAAGTGATTTTTTTTCCCTCAAAAACCCTTCCTGCAAAAAAAATCTCATGTTTGTGGCGTTTCATTTCAGTCTATTTAAAAAATGCAAAATTTTTAGTTGGGAGGAATGTCAGTTTTCCAGCCAGATCTAATGGGAGTGCCTGGCTCCCTACTTTCTACAGCTGTGGAGTCACTTTTGCCTCAGTTTACCCATCTGCATAGCATAGTTGAGGCCTGATAGGGCTTATTGGATCATAAAAGTATCAGGCACCAACCTCTATTTTTTCTTCTTTCCAGAACTCTCTAAACAGCAGCAATTTTTATTCAATTTTTGCTCTAAAATAATTCACCTGATTTGACATCTTTTATGCTCTACGTCATTTCCAAACCTATTTTAAGGCCAGTAATATACTCGCAGAAATAGCTCATCTAAAGGAAATGCTAATATAACTCTGGAAAAATAGCATTACAGACTCTGTACTAACCATCTTATTTAAAAAGTGTTCTAAATTCGGTAATTAAATTTCCAAAGTAACTTGTCTTTCTTTTCACCGCAGACTAATAACGTAAAATCCACTACTATGTAAGAAACGAGCTTTTTTTTAATGCTATGGATCAGTCCAGGTTGCAAGGCAGTATTAAACTTATTTGCTACTGGCTCTATTATGTTAGCTTTTTTTTTCTCATTTCAAAGTAATTCTGTGATATTATAAAGCAAATCTATCAATTCAAAACTTAAGTAATCACTATTATCTGTCAAATATTTGAGTGGCTTTTCTGTTGGACAAAAGTAAGATAATCAGCTCTGTGAAAAAATAATTAACTCTTACATTTCTAAACAAATCTTGATTAAAATTCCGTACATAAGCAGTCACATAAAAATCGTATTGCTCTCAGTGGGCATCGATTCTGCTGTAGTTTACCAACTTTTACCAATAAAAATCAAATCAAGTTTCAAAGTAAATAAATATATTTCTCCAAGCCTAACTATGAGGAACTAAAATACAAATAAAAGACCCTCACATCCTAATTTTATAGTTTTTATGGTCTTAAAATTAGTAAAAAATAAATATATTAAAAATCTTACTTCTGACAAACTGATTCTTTGAGGAACAGTTCCTATAACATCTCCGCTCATTTGTACAGCTAGTCCTGAAGGAGTGCCGAGGGTCCTCCCAATTTGACTCTTAGATGTTAAAGACCTGCTTCTTTGCATACTAAGGATTCCTTCCTTATTTCCCTGGTTGCTAGAGGTAAGAGGTCGTGGCAACAAACTTGGGGTTGCAGGTCTGCTTCCTGGAGTCAACGGCGTTGGAGGCCTGTTGTTCTGCATATTGGGAGTCTGAGGCCTACTGTTTGAGATACTGGAGACCTGCACTCTGCTGGTAGTAGGGACCGGTGGTGATTTGTTTCCTTCCAGCTGCAGATGAATATTTTTCCCCGTTTGACTTGGCACTTGAGGCCTTGAATTTTGGCCTAGTGTGGCTTGAAGATTTCCTGGATGATGTGATGTAAGTAAATTACTATGTGGACTAGTACTTGCTTCTTCCCAGAGTGCTAGGTCCTTTTCAATGTCTGCACACAGAAAAAAGACAACAGTAACATTAAAGTAAAAAAAGGATACACTGGGGACTTATCCACATGGAGATTTCGTGCGTGTCAAGCCAGGGTCTGAACGTACAGTGCTCTAGCCTGTTGCACACTAAACTGTCATGTGGACCCTGTGATGGCGCATTAAAAGTTCCATAGGGCTCTTTGATGTTCTGCTGTTTGAAACAGTAGTTCAAAGAGCATTTTTAGTATAAAGAAAGGGAGTACTAGTGGCACCTTGGAGACTAACCAATTTATTTGAGCATAAGCTTAGCTGTAGCTCACGAAAGCTTATGCTCAAATAAATTGGTTAGTCTCTAAGGTGCCACTAGTACTCCTTTTCTTTTTGCGAATACAAACTAACACGGCTGCTACTCTGAAACCATTTTTAGTATAGGGTCTATATGGACAGTTAGGCACAGCAGGCTAAAGTGCTGCAGATATATACCCTGGCTTGCTGCACACTGTCTGTCTATGTAGAGAAGCCTAACTTATATACAGTAATCTCTCTTCTTCATGATTTTAAAATTGATTGAAAGTATGAATGAATGGTGAACGCAGCTTGAGGTTATGGAGAGAGAACCTACGCATCACCTCTCAGCCATCCCTGCAAATGGAAGACAGACAGAACTAACAATCCAAAATATATGTTTTTGCAAGCCATTTCTCCTCCAAAGTTCATACCTCAGAAATGACATCACTTTGTAATTATCTTTTCTTGATATGAAAAGCATTAAAACCAATAATAACCTCCATTATTTTCCCCAAGTTATATTCCTTTAACTTTGGTGAGGTTACTCTGTAGTAACAAATAAAGACGTGCAAAACTCTGGCTCTGAGCAAACCTCAGCTCTTGTGAGGGTAGAATCTAAACCTGATTCACAATCTGAATTTTACTCTTGGATCCTATCCTTATAACTGACCAAACACACTTGAACTCTGGTGTGTTTGGAATTTTGACACATTCTGGATCTGAATTTTGTGGCTCCAATCTATTTTAGCATCTAATTCCACAGACACACAGTTTGAAAATGCACAGGTTTCACTAACTTCAGCAGAAGCCATGCATTAGAATTTGGTCCATAAAGGGTCCATTTCAGCTTTACACAAGCCAAACACTCAGTCAGTTCAGTGGGAGTTTCCCTTTCTAAGGTAAAAAAAATAAAGCCCCCATCTAAGCCAGGACAATTCAGTGTTAGTGAAGAATCTTTGCTTCTGAATTCATTCAAAAGATATTTATGTTTCTAATTTACAGGTAAATGATATCATTACAGTGTGTCCAAAAAAGTTAAAGCAATGGTAGTTTGGTAAATTACTACGCTAGCAAAATGAAAGCCCTCACAAGTAAAAATGTCAAGGAATTTGACAAGACATTCGTTGAATCATCTAGTTTATGTTTCACCACTGTTGTCAATTTCACACCTTCACTGGCAGATGACTCTATTTAACTTGGTTTTGATACACACAATCGGTTTCCTTTAGAACCAACAGCAGTGCCATTTTGCTTTAAACAGTATAAGCAACATTCTCAGCAGGTGGGAACTGGCATAGCCCCATGGACTACAAGCTCTGTGTGTATAATGAAGCCTCCAACCCTCAGAAAATTTTGCATTTGTGACTTGACAGCAAAGACTTCAGGATACCAGGAATCCTACAGCAATCCCAAATTTGATTTTCCAATACTATAATTTAGAATCTATTCTCATCCACTTCCACCTGTGTTTACCAAATATGCACAGTGTTTATACTATACATTTAAAAATTATGAGTACACACAAGTAGAATTGGTCTGCATTAAAAGGTGCTCATATTTTATTAAATATTTTACTCATTTACTTTTTTTAAAATAAAAAAACATAAATTGTGTCTGCTAGTCTAAAATAAGATATTCAACATGTTTGAAGACTGGTACTAAAGAAGAGGGACTGAAATTGTCAGTGAAATCTCAAAGGATATAATATCCAGACTCTTTAATGATCAAATGTTTTCCTACTAGCAAATTTACAAGGGTCATTATTGTTTATATATTTAGTAGACAGTTAAGGATATTTTTTATTGTTGCTTTAAACTTAAAATAATTTAAATGAAACATCGCCCTCATTAAAATCAAGCAGTTGTTTTCATTTTACCTTTTGAAATAATTACTGTATGTTTTAAGAAAAAATCAATACATGTCACTTTGAAATTTATAAGATATCTGGTTCAAATCTCAGGGGTCAACAAACAACAATGTAAGTTTCATAATTTAAACCAAATGTGGTATGTCTTTTTTTAAATTAAAATTAACCTGTATCGTTGCAAAATGACTAAGCTCTCTAACTTCCTCACCTTGATTAAGAGGAGATCATGCTGGAAAACTGCTCTGAAATATCCATGCTTTACTAAGAGTTATATAAACATCATATTCTTTGTCCATGTTTCCATGATTTTAAATTAGTGATTGATTCTACAGAAAAAGCTATTTTAATCACTTTCTCCATATATAATTAAAAAGATTTCCACAACAAAACTTTTCAGTTTTATTTAATACATACCACATCTGTGGATTTTGCTTCAACATCAACTTTTCCAACTAAATGAATAAACCTAGTTTTGAATTACCAACACTACATTATTATTTGATACACATCAAATACTGTAGTTGGGACATGACTTGGGATTTTGTCAGAAAACCTCCTGTTAATGTTATTTAAATGAAAATAACATGTGGGTAACAGAGTGATCCTAGGGCTTCCTACTTACATATCAGAAATACCAGAACAACAGTTTGATTCACAACACATTCATAAGGTTTTTAATGCATTAAAAAGTTCTTTTTGTGATAAAACACATTCAAGACCACAGAACTATTCCTTCAAACCAAACAGAAAAGTTGCCTGAATTAGCTACCAACAAAAAAGCCTCTCACCCTGTGTATAATATAAAGCTGCCACTGGACAGCTGTAACTTATGTGACAGGCATTTAGATGAAAGCATTACTGTGCAGTCTGCAGGGAAGGATGGGGGCACTGTATAGGTGAAAATTTGAACTTGCTAAAAATGATGCATTCACATCTGCTGAACCAAACCCAAATACTGCAAGTTTAGATTTTGTAAATAAAGCGAACTGGCCAGGCAAGTCTACATATTCCAAAACCCCATTCCTGATACACAGACAAATGGAGAAAACCAGTCACAGGGAAACAGATGATCAACAAGATCCATTCTCAAATAAAATGAAATAAAATAAAATAAAATACCTAGATCTCATATAGCACTGTTCAGCTGTAGATTTCAAAATCACTTTACAAAGGAGCTTAATATCATTATTTCCATTATACAGACGGGGAAACTGAGGCACAGGAAGGGGCAGTGACATGCCCAACCCTTGGGAGTGGTAAACAGAAGGAGGGCTGGATGTGAGGGAGCAACCATTGAAGAGGATTTTGTGACCCTGTACCTTATCCCTGGAGTACAGGTAGTAGAAGAAGGTTGGCCATGGTGAACTGACCAGGAAGATTCTGTATTCTAGTATATCCAGCAACAGGAAAATAGACTATCAAAGGATTCTACAACCGAATGCCAGCTCCCAACAACCCAAACAACTGGGTGAGGACAGATAAGACATTTCAGAATATCTCATTACCCTTTCTGCTAGTGCCAGAGAATTGCAGTGGAGTATGAGGGAGTTACATGTATTTTTATTTTATAAATACATACCCCAGTTCACCTAGAATCATAGAATATCATAGAATATCAGGGTTGGAAGGAACCTCAGGACGTCATCTAGTCCAACCCCCTGCTCAAAAGCAGGACCCATCCCCAATTAAATCATCCCAGCCAGGGCTTTGTCAAGCCTGACCTTAAAAACTTCTAAGGAAGGAGATTCCACCACCTCCCTAGGCAACGCATTCCAGTGTTTCACCACCCTCCTAGTGAAAAAGTTTTTCCTAATATCCAACCTAAACCTCCCCCACTGCAACTTGAGACCATTACTCCTTGTCCTGTCCTCTTCCACCACTGAGAATAGTCTAGAACCATCCTCTCTGGAACTACCTCTCAGGTAGTTGAAAGCAGCTATCAAATCCCCCCTCATTCTTCTCTTCTGCAGACTAAACAATCCCAGCTCCCTCAGCCTCTCCTCATAAGTCATGTGTTCCAGACCCCTAATCATTTTTGTTGCCCTTCGCTGGACTCTCTCCAATTTATCCACATCCTTCTTGTAGTGTGGGGCCCAAAACTGGACACAGTACTCCAGATGAGGCCTCACCAATGTCGAATAGAGGGGGACGATCATGTCCCTCAATCTGCTCGCTATGCCCCTACTTATACATCCCAAAATGCCATTGGCCTTCTTGGCAACAAGGGCACACTGCTGGCTCATATCCAGCTTCTCATCCACTGTCACCCCTAGGTCCTTTTCCGCAGAACTGCTGCCTAGCCATTCGGTCCCTAGTCTGTAGCTGTGCAGTGGGTTCTTCCGTCCTAAGTGCAGGACCCTGCACTTATCCTTATTGAACCTCATCAGATTTCTTTTGGCCCAATCCTCCAATTTGTCTAGGTCCCTCTGTATCCTATCCCTGCCCTCCAGCGTATCTACCACTCCTCCCAGTTTAGTATCATCCGCAAATTTGCTGAGAGTGCAATCCACACCATCCTCCAGATCATTTATGAAGATATTGAACAAAACCGGCCCCAGGACCGACCCCTGGGGCATTCCACTTGACACCGGCTGCCAACTAGACATGGAGCCATTGATCACTACCCGTTGAGCCCGACAGTCTAGCCAACTTTCTACCCACCTTATAGTGCATTCATCCAGCCCATATTTCCTTAACTTGCTGACAAGAATACTGTGGGAGACCGTGTCAAAAGCTTTGCTAAAGTCAGGATACAATACATCCACTGCTTTCCCTTCATCCACAGAACCAGTAATCTCATCATAGAAGGCGATTAGATTAGTCAGGCATGACCTTCCCTTGGTGAATTCATGCTGACTGTTCCTGATCACTTTCCTCTCATGTAAGTGCTTCAGGATTGATTCTTTGAGGACCTGCTCAATGATTTTTCTGGGGACTGAAGTGAGGCTTACTGGCCTGTAGTTCCCAGGATCCTCCTTCTTCCCTTTTTTAAAGATTGGCACTACATTAGCCTTTTTCCAGTCATCCGGGACTTCCCCCGTTCGCCACGAGTTTTCAAAGATAATGGCCAATGGCTTTGCAATCACAGCCACCAGTTCCTTTAGCACTCTCGGATTCAACTCATCCGGCCCCATGGACTTGAGCATGTCCAGTTTTTCTAAATAGTCCCTAACCACCTCTTTCTCCACAGAGGGCTGGCCATCTATTCCCCATGTTGTGATGCCCAGCACAGCAGTCTGGGAGCTGACCTTGTTCGTGAAGACAGAGGCAAAAAAAGCATTGAGTACATTAGCTTTACCTGTTTGATATTATCCTGACAGACTGCAAGGAGTTAAATCAAAGGAGGCTGTTGGGGGGGTGGGGGGGAGGAGGAAACAGGATATGAAACAAGGGCAAAAGATAAGGTCTGGCCCAGACAATACTAAGGGTCCTTGAGGAAACAATGGGGAAATGATTAGACCTTCCCAGACCTAAGCCTAGGATCAAAGAGGGTATTAAAATCTTGACAATGCTTGCCTATGGAAGAAGGGGGATTGAGTCGGCTGTCAGCAGCTGCTGAGGGAGAAGATGCTGACAGAGACACTGAGAATGAGACAAACTGAAGCAAGCAGACTGCCTCTCCCAACTGAGAGGTGGGAGTAACTGGGTTGAATGGAACTTACCAAAGCTTGCAAGGTAAGATTAAAGCTTAGGTAAGGAAAAATAGGTACATAGGTCTTTTCTGTTTTTCTTTGTTTGTTTTAACTCTTTGCTCTGCATGTTTTGTACCTTTTGGGTGAATACATAATGTTTTGTTTTGAGGAAAACTGTTTTTGAGCTACTTTAAGCAGCTGCTGTTACAGACTCTAGGAGGAAACATGCATACAGGAGCTAGACACAGGTGGGCCTGTCATATTAACAGGGTCAGGAATCAGAGAGGCTGCCACCTGGAGTCCATAGAATCATAGAATCATAGAATATCAGGGTTGGAAGGGACCTCAGGAGGTCATCTAGTCCAACCCCCTGCTTAAAGCAGGACCAATCCCCAACTAAATCATCCGTCCCAAAGTAGCTGAATTGCATGGTCGACCCTTGAGAAAGATGCAGGAAGCCAGGCCTGTCACCTAAGAGATGCACTTGAGAGAGACAAAAAGAGAGGTCTAACATGCAGCTTAGCCTGAAGCCATGTCAATGGTACATTATCAAATCACCAGAAGCAGCAGGAACAAGGGGAAGAGTTCTAGATTCCACGGTTCCACAAAGGCATGGGTGAGTGGTCATCAGACCACGCGCACTGACAAATTTGGGCAGAGCTAACTTTGATTGCTACACCAAGTCAGCCCCCAATAAGCGTGGGAAGGAGCAGGCTTGCTTTCAACCCCAAAAGTTTACAGAAAGGTAAGATGCCCCAAGAATTTGCAGAAAGGGCCTTCTGGGCACTCTGGCAATCATGACGGCAAGGAAACCTCCTGGGATAAGTTATCATGGGGGAAAGCAGGCATACCAACCGTCCCAAATGTTGCTAAATGGGCTCCCTGGCTGCACCTAGAAGTTCAATGAAAGGAATGCTAAGCTTTTAGGCTTCTCAAAAAAATGAGACAGGGTAAATGCAGGTATAGTGGGAGGGAGGGTAGTTAATTAGGCTAAGGACCTCTATAGGTGTCAGATATTTTGGATTAAACAAATGCAAATTCCAACCCTTTGTAGGGATTTTCACATTTGCTTACTCAAGTCCAGGGCTACAAAGAATAAACGCTTTGTGTGATATCACCTGGGCCAGTAGAGAGACAAGGTTAGTTTAAAACTATAAAGTCATAATACCCTATTCTGCTTCAGCCCCAGCTACAATGGCTCCCAGAGCATTGGGGAAGTGCAGCAACTCTGCTCTGCTGGCCACTGAGGTTAGCGGGCTATGTCCTTGCCAGGGCCTTCCCCAGTGCCTTCACAGAAGCCAGTCTTGAAAGTAGGAATAGCTATATAGAATTCTTGTTACCACTGAGTACAAGGACTCTGTCCCGGTACAGGGGACTTGGGAAAAGAGTAGTGGAGAAGCTCATAGCTCCCTCTCTCTACCTTGCATACTTGTTTAGTACAATCTGGCCCTGATTAAGTTTCTCAAGATTTGGCCCAAGAAGACAAGACCCTCAAAGTCAAAGTTAATTCAGGGAAGTCCTATGACCTGTGCTATTTGGGAGATCACACTAGATGATCACAGTGGTGCCTTCCAGCTTTACAATCTATGAAATATGAAAATCAAGTCTTAGCAGATCTGCAAAGCAACATTTTGCTCACAATAGGATAAAATTCAACACAATAGTTTTCCTGATCTGTTAATACTTGGAAATGTCCAAATAAAAACTCTTAGTCCTTAGCACGCTCAGTCACTAATTAACTAACTCTCCCCTCACAACTGCCCTCTGCGGCTGGTATTGTACAATTTACAGAGGGGGGAATGGAGGCAGGTATGTAATTGAATTGCCCAGGGCTACACAGTAGATCAGTTAAACAGCTGGGATTAGAATTCAGGAACTCCTCACCCCTAAGATCAGGATGCCTGTATTTATTTCTTCACATCTAAACTGCAGAAGCAGCCAAGTGGTTTCTAAGAAAAAAGTGATCTGAAATTAGGTTTATCTCATAACTTACCTTTTTGTGCCTGTGCCACATCTTCATGCCTCCAATGTCACATTTGTTAAAAGACAGGCTTATTATTTTCTATGGTGCGGTCACGAGGACTTCAATAGCTCAGACATACGTGAGAGGTTTTTCGCAGGAGTGGGTGGGTGAGATTCTGTGGCCTGCGTTTTGCAGGAGGTCAGACTAGATGATCAATAATGGTCCCTTCTGACCTTAGTATCTATGAATCTATGACATGCAGCACATAAATAAGAGGCCTGCAGGGCCCTATGTGTGCCCTTTAAAAGGATGCATACTGCAAAAATATTTTCCTGTTATTCATTGTTTAATTTAACCAATAATCCAGAGTAAATTGGATTTATTCTACAACTGAAGGGGTGTATGTTTTGAATCATTTATCAAATATTTAAAGCTGAAGCAAGAAAATACTCATTACAATGAAAAAAAGAGGAAACTGTATTCTAAATTTCCCAGTACATTTTTCAAGAAACAATGAAAATACTTTTACCCAAACTTTGGTTTACTTTACTGTATTCTTTAAAAAATTACCACTATCACTACTGTAGCTGAGATTCTATTACACACAATGGCCCTAATCCTCATCAACCGGAACTCCCATTAAATCTCACAGAGTCCTGGCTGGCTCATCCCTCAGGCCAATGCTTTATTAATACACTGGTCTGCTGAAGTCTTTTGGAAGATTTATACCCTGGAGGTCTAGCAACAATAATTCACTACCACCTGAGGTCTGACTGAGCTATGGGAATAAATATGTAATGAAATTGTCAGGATAGTTTTTTAATTACCTTACCATACACAGTCAAGTTTAAAATCTTTGGCTTCAAATAAATGTCTTTTTCCCCCTGTTCAACTAAATAGCAAACGAACAGAAAGAGAGGTTACAGTTCAATTTCTCATCCACTTTTGTCAGTGTCTCAGCCAATGTTTCCTCTCCTTACACACATGATTAGTCCAACTGATTTCAGTGGGGTTACTTGAGTGAGTAGGGTTTGGTGTTTCCTAATTCCTTGTCCGTATACGCACCAGCTAGATGTTTTTCCATGGTCTGCAGTTCTTTTGCGGCTAAGGAGTCTTTCAGGAGTTTCTGGCTTGGAGACCCTCCGTTTCTGGCATACATGACATCCACGTCCCAAACAGGTTGATACTAAATGCAGGTAAAAAAAAAGGTGAAAACGAGAATCTTTAAATGTAGTTTTACATTTATATCTAAAGTATTAAAAGAAAGTTGGAATGATATGTTCTCCTAATTTAGGAAATTAAATGGCGCTTTAAAGTTTAAAGTGCAATTAATAAAAATGTTGGCTTTATATAAAAATATTCATTGTGAAACACTATTTATTTTAAGGTACAAATGGGTAAGAGATGGATTAGATTAAAAATATCTAGTAGTTTAAAGCAAAGATATACCTGCATCGAAACTGGTGCTCAAATTGAGGCAGCATTATCAGACCAAATTCTGCAATGATTTACACGCTGCGTAGTCCCATTGACTTTAGTGGGATTGCACTCACTTTAAATCAACATAAAATGTGGCCCAATATCTCTGAAAAGCAGCACTTCTGGAAATATCTCTGCATTTCCTGACCAACATTTCCAATGCTGTTGTATCATTGCAAGAAGTCTTCCTGTCAGGAAAGGTAACTAAATCATGGCAGCATTATACGCCATTTGGAAGGGATCTTGGCAGGCAAAATACCTACCCAGTCATTCGACAATTGCACACTGTGATATTCAGTTACCTTCAGGTTTTTGGAACTGTTCAACATGCTTTTAAAAATGTCTTCAAAAACATAAAACTATGGAGATAAACTTGATAGGTTTTTTTATCTGTTTGTTTGAGATAAACTAAAACATATGACCAGATGTTCAGGTCTTAGTCATAAAAACAATGAGCAAAAAGATTAATTAAAAACATATCAGAACATAGAGTTTACTTTATTACATTGCCAAAAATATTTCATCCGAAGACCTAGTGTTTTTTAAACAGTAAAAACTAGTTGTATGTACTGTAGTCACCTTTGCTATTTTCACAAGAAATAAATATAATTCTTCAAAATACACTGTTATACAGAATATTTTATATTATTTCAGATCTATTCAAAACAATGAACACCACCTTTTAAGTATCCGACTCTTGTGAAGCATAAATTCTTTGCTAGATTTGACCATACAACTTTAGAATGCGATGCTGATAAAGAAAAATCTAAAATTTTAAGGTCCAGATTTGCACAGGAAAGAGAAACTGGCCATATATTAAATCATATAAATCAACACTATCAAAGCTGTTCAAGATTTTAATTGGCATATTTATTTAGTGATGCGATTTTTTGAATGATGGTACCATTTTCAGTTTTCAAATTTGCTTCCAAAGCACTCCCATTTTAATTAACATTATTCCTATTTGGTCCCAAGTGGTAACGTAGAAGACCTTAAACTATACAAATGTAGATCTGATTCTGCTAATTTCAGACATATGAATAGCCCCCACTGGTCCTGATCCTGAGAGGTTTTGAGCATCTGCAACTTCAGTGGCAGCTGTGAGTTCTCAGCATCAGACCCAATGAACTCATTAGGACTATCCACATGCATGGAATTACTCACACGAATCAGTGTTTGAAGGATCAAGACCATCGTTATTTAGGGCCAGATTACAATATTCTTAGTTCTGTTGAATAACACCTTATTTTATGAGCAGTTCAATTAAAAGCAATGGTACTACCCAGGGCATAAGGAGCTAGTAAGTGTGTTCATTGTGGGGAAAGGGATCAGAATGTGGCCCTATGTTATAGTTTTATTATTGAGTATTTAGATACATTTTCCTTATATAAATGTCCATGTATACGTTTGTGTATGTTTATGTATGTACAGAAAGACACACACACACACACACTGCATATGTCTTTGTAACTATAGAGAGTCATACAATTATGCACAGAGACTCCTACATGAAGACATACACAATTTATGTGAGTAGATATATAAACGATAGCAATATGCATGACTTAAAAAATATACACCCATATATTTCTATGCATTCACTATATACCCATACACATTTTCATTTATCCAAATTCTTCCGTCAACATATGCCTTCAACTGCCAGTGAAGTTAATGAAATAAATGAGGGTAGAATCTATCCCCCGGTTTGTGATCAGTTTATCAAATGTCTTTGCAACCCACATACCTTCTGGGTGTGGTGTTCTGTCCCATCTAATGGTACCGAGACCACTTAGAGAGAGTTAAATGAGTCTGCTCTACAGCTTTAGCTAACAGCCAGTTGGCTTTCCGCTCATGCGGTAGAGGCTCATGCACTGAGCTCCAGAGGCCCCAGATTTGATCCCGCCCGACGACGACCGGGGTCTGTCGGTGTTACACTTTGTCATGTTTTGACGGAAAGATCTAGAGCAGTGGTTACTAAACTTGTTCGGCCGCTTGTGCTGGCTGCTGTTTCCCACAGCCCCCATTGGCCTGGAGCAGCGAACCACAGCCACTGGGAGCCGCCATCGGCCGAACCTGCGGACACGGCAGGTAAACAAACCAGACCAGCCCGCCAGGGGCTTTCCCTGAACAAGCGTCGGAACAAGTTTGGGAACCACTGATCTACAGTATATGCAACACCACCAATATCAGTAACTACCAGTCAGGCCATAATGTGCCAAAGGCCAAAGCAATACTGCATCATTACTTACCAAGTACACGAGGCACTGAATATTTGAAATTTAGTGACAAACATTGTAAATAACCATGAACATAAATAGCACCATATAAATACATTCATTTGATAACGATATGAATGAGAATGAAAACCAGCACAAATAACCCAAAGGTTATTATGATAATAAAATGTTGTGACTCTTGTGAGCGTTCTCTGATGCTGTGCATTTCAGGGACATACCAAAGTAGGTTTCAATCATTTAGGAGGCAGAGCTGGGATAACAATTTTTCATAAACCCTTTGAATGGAAATGATTTATATTTTGAGAGCCACATTCACTTCAGAGTTTGCACTAGTGTAAACCCTGCTAAAGGTCCCTAGTGTTCCCAGCACACAGCTGTTCCAGTTCCATATGTTGAGGAGCCAGCATGGCCTGAAAAGTGGATGGTGATGCCTAGAAAAGGGGGCATGACCACAGTGGCAGCATCCTCTTAAATGCTGCTAAACCACTGGAGACTTTATGTGGCTCTAGCATGATTTAAAGCTGCCCCTCCCCCCTCACAGAAAGCCTTAGAGCAGATGGCAGCAATAACACTATGTAAATTAAGATAAACCCTCAGGGTTGCAAGGCACTTTTGCTGGTGCAGCAAGGTGTAATTTACACCTCCCTGTGCCACTTTACAGAACTTTTGGCCAGGTATAGTACAAGCGGACCAATACAAACTTGCAATCATAGCATAACTTTACTCTGAAGCATAACAATAGTGGAGCCAACTAACCTCTTGATCTCCTTAAAAACATACTCCAGATTATTTCTGTGCAAACATTACAACTTCAGTTCATTCAAATTTGAATCAACAGTGACAATGGTAGATCCCGCTTATTCCTTTCAACCTGGTAGGTTTGGTCAGTGTTGGATATAAATGTTGGTGTTTTTAGTTTATTTAATATCTTCTTTGCCATTATGGTTCCAACCTATGCCTTATGTTTAATGTTTCATTACATTTTACAAATGGATGTTTACATTAACAAGGAGTTTTACATCTCAATACAAGGAAATTACTGAAAGAACATCCTTGTCATTTTTACTTATGGAAATCACATTGGGCCCCATTCACCAACTTTGAACCAAGGCATGGTGATGTAATATAGCATCGGAAAAATGTTAAAGCAATATTGTCAAGAGATGTGCCAACTTTTAAGGTCAGCCATATGGCAGTATTTTGCTAAGGTTTTTTCCACATCTTCATTATGTCTTCACATACAATCTATTTATTTTGGTATTCTTTACTTAGACCACTTAGCCAATAAATACAAAGGAAGAGGCCAAAATTTAATCAAGGCCTTAACTAATTCATTGCATTTTTGAAGAATATTGTAATTTCGTGGGGCTGGAGGGGGTTAGGGGAAATCTGCTATAGTTACAAATTGCTCATGTTAGCAAGAGTCGTAGTAGATGCTTCAGTCATAGTACATGCTTCAGACTTTAGCACCACATTAGCTTGGTGCCAAAAGTCATTGATGATATTCCTGTTGGAAGAAATATGATACACATTAAGGTTCTGATCCTGCAATTCAATCTACATATGTGAAGTCCCACAGATATCTATGGAGTTCTGCTCAGGTGTAGTGGTCTGATGCCAGGATCAAGGCCTAAGAATTCTCAACCTCTAATATAACATGCTTTACCAGAACAATGTAGGACACTCCAAGAGGAGAAGCTGGCTTCCAGCAGAAAGCATTCCCTCATCTTTTAAGAATGCCTTTTATCAGAAATATAGAGGAGTTTAACATGTGATTTTCAGGGAGTATATTTTTAATTATAGACCACAGCATCCCCTATGAATTCATAGAATAAGAAGAGATTTTAAGATGTGGAGGTAGCCTGCCTTTGATTGACAGCTTCCCTGCAGTCAAGAACAATTGGCTCCAAGAGCAGCTTGCAATGCGTAATTTTAGACTGAGGATAAGAGTATAGAAGACAAATAAAAGATAAAGAAAATTTCAAGTGGAACTGTCTGGTTGCAATAAAACCAAGGTATTTAAATGGAAAATGCAAAAATATTAGAATTTGCCTAGGATTGAATTAGTAATTAGTTCCCGACAAGTTGGAAATATAAATAATTTTTCATTGAACTTTATGTTATGCATATTTTTGTTCATTAAGTGAAAATTTTACTGGAAGCTTCAGGAACTAATACCACAACAAAGAAAAACCTCATAAACTTTCTCATATGCAATTTGCCAATTCATATAAAATTAAGCTTAAATAAAAACATTTGTCACAGATGCCTCCAAATACAGTCAAATAATTCCATTTTTCAACAAATTATCTGTGAATGTGCACATGTGATTAATCCTGACCAGGAAGGTAAGAAGGATGGTTGTTATTCAAGTAGCTAATCTTTCTGCACAATATCACATGAAGGTTTTTCACACAACTTTCATTTTTCTATTAAAGTTCACCAACTGTTTAATCTTTCAGTTTCC